TTATATAAGAATGCTATTGATTTTTGAGTATTGATTTTGTATCCAGCCACATTGGTGAATTTATTTATTATATCTAGGAGTCTTTCAATGGAGTTTTGGGGGTCTTCTATGTAGAGTACCATATCATCTGCAAATAGTGATAATTTAACTTCTTATTTTCCTATCTTCACACCTTTTATTTTCTTTCATGTCTAATTGCTCTGGCTAGTATTTCCTATATTAAATAGGAGCGGTGACAGGGGACATCCTTGTCTTGTGCCTGATTTTAAAGTAAAGGCCTTCAATTTTTGGCCATTTATTATGATACTGGCTGTTGGTTTGTCATAGATGGTCTTTATTATGTTGAGGTAAAGAACATCTATTCCAATTTTCTGTAAGTTTCTTATCATAAATGAATGTTGTACCTTATCAAAAGCTTTGTCTGCATCTATAGAAATGATCATGTGATTCTTACTTTTGACTCTATTGATATGGTGGATTACATTTATTGATTTATGCATATTGAACCATCCCTGCATACCTGGAATGAATCTCACTTGGTCATGGTGTATAATCTTCTTGATGACTTGCTGCATCCTATTTGCCAATATCTTATTGAGGATCTTTGCATCTGTGTTCATTAGGGAGATTGGTCTGTAGTTCTCTTTTTCAGTTGGGCCTTTCTCAGGTTTTGGTACTAGAGTAATATTTGCTTCCAGGAATGACTTAGGAAGGATTGCTTCCTTTTCAATTTCATTGAAGAGTTTGAGGAGTGTCGGCATTAGGTCCTCTCTGTATTTCTTGTAGAATTCTGCAGTGAATCCATCTGGGCCTGGGCTCTTCTTTGTAGGTAATGACTTAATTACATTTTCAATTTCATGTATAGAAATTGGGTTATTCAGCAGTTTTACTTCTTCTTGACCTAGCTTTCGTACTTCATATGCTTCTAGAAATCTGTCTATTTTTTCTGTGTTATCTAACCTTTGAGAGTAGAGGTTTTTGATATAGGTGTTGATGATCTTCTGTATTTCTATTGGGTCTGTAGTGATTTCACCGTTTTCGCTCCTTATTGCATGAATTTGAGCTTTTTCTTCCCTTCTTTAATAAGGTTGGCTAGGGGCTTATCAATTTTATTTATTCTTCCAAAGAACCAACTCTTTGCTTCATTGATTCTTTGTATTGTTTTCTTAGTCTCTATTGCATTGATTTCTGCTCCAATTTTTATAATTTCCTCACTTCTTTTGGCTTTGGGCTTGACTTGTGCTTCTTTTTCTAGCTGTTTGAGTTGTAGCATCAAGTTATTTATTTGTATTTGTTCTGTTTTCCTGATGTGGGAACTCAGTGCAATAAATTTCCCTCTGAGGACAGCTTTCATTGCATCCCACAGATTCTGCTAAGTTGTATTTGTGTTTTCATTTGTTTGTAGGTATTGTTTAATTTCCTCTTTAATTTCCTCCGTGACCCACTGATTACTCAAGAGTGTGTTATTCAGTTTCCATGTGTTTATGGGATTTTTGCAGTATCTTTTATCATTAATAACTAATTTCATAGCGCTATGATCTGATAACATTCAGGGGATGATTTCAACTCTTTTCCATTTCTTTAAATACGTTCTATGAGTTAATATATGGTCATTTTAGAGAATGACCCATGTACTACTGAAAAATATGTGTATTCTGTTGTTGGGCGGAATACTCTGTATATGTCTATCAATTCATTTGTTCACAAGTGTGATTCAGTTCTTTTATCTCTTTGCTGATTTTCTGTCCTGTTGATCTGTCCATAGGTGTCAATGGTGTGTTAAAATCTCCTGTTATAATGATATTACTGCTAATTTGGTTTTTCATTTCTGATATTACTTGTTTTATATAACTGGGTGCTTTGGAATTTGGTGCATATATTTTTAAGGTAGTTATCTCTTCCTCTTGAAGTTTTCCCATAACCAGTATGTAGTGACCTGCTTTGTCTTTTCTGATCATTATTGGTTTGGAGTTCACATTGTCTGCAAACAGAATATCTACCCCCACTTTTTTGGGGGGTTCCTGTTGCATGAAGTATTGTTTTCCATCCTTTGACTTTCAGTCTGTGAGTATCATTTTGGGTTTCTTGTAGACAGCTTATGGTTGGATTTTGTTTCTTGATCCATTCTGCCAGCCTATTTCTTTTAATTAGTGCATTGAGACCATTTATGTTAATGGCTATAAGTGTTATATATTGGTTTATTGGTGACATGTTATATTTCTGCTGTTGCATCTTTATCTTTCTGTTCTATTTAATTGTCTGCTTTGGGAAGTGGTTTTTTCTTAGGTATATCTAGACTGTCTTTCAATATTCTTTGCAGGATTGGCTTGGTGATCATGAATTTTTTCAGCTGTTCTTTGTCGTGGCAGTATCTTATTTCTCCATCAATTTTGAAGGACAGTTTTGCAGGGTATATCAGTCTAGGTTGGAAATCATTTTCCTTTAAGGTCTGAAATACTTCACTCCATGCTCTTCTCACCTTTACTGTTCGTTTTGAGAAGTCTGCTCTGATTCTGATAGGTTTTCCTTTATAGATGATCTGTCTTTTCTCTCTGACAGCTTTTAATATTCTATTCTTTTGTTTGATTTCTGGAATGGTGATTATTATATGTCTGGGTGTAGTTTTATTTTGGTTATGGCTATTTGGAGTCCTATATGCCTCACTGATCCTGATATCAGTTTCCAATTTCATGTCTGGAAGTTTTGAGCAATTACTTCTCTAAATATCCTCTTGACATCCTTTGTATTGTCTCCTTTTTCATTTATTCCTATCAACCGTATGTTGATTTTTTTTGCATCATCCTGCAGGTGTTGTATTGTTATTTCTTGATTTCTTGTTATTTTTAAAAGTTGTTTCCTTTCCTGTTCAGTGGCTGGAATCTTGTCTTTCAGGTCCGAAATTCTATCTTTACATTCATTCAGGCAGTTTTTACAACTTTCAATGTTGCTTTTGATTTCTTGTACATTTCTTTGCATCTGTTTTATATATTCTGTTTCTTTTTATATTGTTCATCCAGAGATTCTGTCCTTTTGTTTAGTTCCTCCAATTTTTTAGCTGTGTCTTCTTTAGATATGTTCAGCATCTCCTTCATTTCTTTTATTATTTCTTCTTTTTACCTGATATATTATTTCTCGATTGAATTCCTTCAAAGCTTCCTGGAGCTGCTTCTTTATTTCTGTTACTATTGTTTCAGGAATTTCAGGCATATGGCATGTATTTTCTTCTATGTACATGGCTCCTAGGATTTCTTGGGATGGGTTGGAGGTTTGAGATTGTATTTTGGTGTTTTGTTTTGTCATTTTCCTATATTACTGTGTTTCAAGCATTGTTTCAGAGTTTCCCCTGGTTGTGTTGTAAATTGACTCTTATATCGTGGGCTCTTGGGTCTCCTCTTGTAGTAGCTCCCCCCTTGGGCAGCGGAGCCCCTGGATTAAAAGAGGCTTGCCAGGTTCCTCTCAGGTAGACCTAAAGTTTCCTCAATTTGCACAGTTTCAGGGCCGGTCCGGAGTCGCCTCTGCTCAGCTGGATGCACACCTTCTGGTCCCTGAGGTGGTAGTATGGGCCCTGGGCAGGAGAGGCTGCAGCAGGGCCAGCCTCCACTCAGCTGGATGCGTACCTTCTGGTCCCCAGTGGTTGTAGTACGGGCATGCGGTGGAAGAGGCAGCAGCAGGGCTGGCCTCCACTCAGCTGGATTCGCACTTTCCAGTCCCCAGTGGTGGTAGTTGGGCCCTATACGGGAGAGGCAGCAGCAGGGCCGGCCTCCAATCTGTTGACTCTCACCTTCCAGTCCCCAGCAGTGGTAGTTGAGCCCTGGGCAGTAGAGGTGGCAGTAGGGCCGGCCTCCACTCAACTCTCTGTCAATTTTCTTAATGAATATGTATTATAATTACAGTCAAAAAGAAAATTTTACCTTCTAATTATTTACTACTCGGAATGTTCAGTTAAAAACAAACTCAGCTTTGATAAATGTTGATGGTCCTCTATTGAAAAAGAAGATACACCGGAATATTTTCTTCTCAAGTGTAATACTCCTCATAGAAAAACATGTAAAACATGAACAGGAAGCTTAAATCACTAAATCAAATTGTTCAGACCTACAGTTGGCCCTTGAGCAACAGGGTTGCAGTGGATTCAGGCAGGCAGGCTTCAAAACAGGAACACTATGGCAGAAGGATTTCACAAAGCAACTCTCAATTCATATAGGATGGGAAGAAGAGAAAAGAAAAAGAGCCCTAAAAACAAGGGATCAGTATACTGATATACAACCCAAGACACCTCCATATTTTAGTTCAGGTGGTTCTACTGGGATCCACAACAGCACACCGAAAGCAATGGGAGTAACCTATGTCAAGACATAGATTGAATTTCAAGGACCCACAGCAATTTGCTAATTTAGACCAAAAATGCCAAGTGCAGACAATTTGTTTAAAAATATTGATAAGAGAGTCTTATTCCATCACACTAAAAGTTTATAATTAAATAAGAGATGTTTAGGATTCCCTTAGAAGGAGGCTATGATGATGTCAGAGTCAGCAGATAGCTTGATTGGATCCTGGCCATGCTTTTTTATTCCTAAGTACATTGCTCCACTGTGGCCTTCCTGAAATTGTGTTACACATTTCTGTCTCTTTCATCCGATGGTCAGCTCACTCTCCAGCATGCTTGTTCCTAGCACGAGATGGTCCTAATATGCAAATGGTTCTAAAACTACCCAGATGAACCCTGGCATTGATAATTCTGTCACTGGTAACCCATGTTTATGAGAATGTCCTGGCCAGTACCACATCCTACAGACCCACCTTGCACACCTGGGTTTCTGGTGAGGACAGGAACACATGATTTGATCTGACTCATCAGCTGTGGTAATTATACGGGTCTCACACACTTAAAAGTTGTCATGATGAGAAGAGGGGGTGGCAACAGTGTGTTGTTTTAGAAAGCCTCTCAGGGTAAAGCACCACAAAGCCAGTGACAAACATGAGGACACTGAGCCAACTCATTCCCTTTCCTCTGCTGGGGCTAAAAGACAACATGGACAAATCTTCAGATGCTCTGACTTGGAGATGCTTCTTGCTTCTTGGGAAGATGCAGCTAATCCTGCTCCTGTTGGACTTCCTTCTGCTCCCCAGAGCAGAGGCAGGTGAGTGACCATCTTCACCCACCAGGTGCCCAATCTTATTGCACAGAGCACATGAATCTCCTGTCCTTATGCAACAACCCCTGAGCTTTCTGTCTGCCAGCATTGCTCTGAACCTGAACTCCAATTCCACCAGGGGGAATCAGGTAGGACACTGCATAAGCTACCAGGGTTTGTTTTCAAGAAGAGACAGTGGGTAATGTACCCTCAGTAAGACTCAGCTTGCACATCTAGAGGTACTTTCTTCAAAGTTCATACAGGTGAGAAGTAAATAGAAGAAAATATCAAGTACTCCTAAACAGGGCAGACTAGGCCAGTCATTCCAGTCAGGGGAGGAGAAAGGCTTTGCATTCATCAACTGCCTGGTAGAGATGCCCAGAGCTCAGTGACCCCAGAATGGATGGAATCTCTGTCCTCGGAACACTGTTTTTGCCTCACCTCACTGCTACTAACTTTCTCCAGCTCTGCTTTCCTCCTCTGGATTTCAGTGGCTCTTCTGTTTTCCAGTAGGAGCCACAGAGGCAGAGTCACACTTGTCTGCTTTCCAGAATCCCATCTGCACTGCTCTACTAACCAGACACTAACTGCAGCTCTTCCTTCATGCTGCCAGGGAACAGATCTGAGACACCCTCTACATGTCAGGCCTTAGGAAAGATGATAAGACCACATCTACATTACACCTAGAGGGCTGCCTGGAGGAAGCATCACCATCCTAGACATCACAGGACTCAGAAGGGTTTTATTTACTCAAGGAAAGTAAAAAATAAGCAGAGGAATGATGAAAAGCCTCAGAGGTTTTATTTTCCCCTGATACATATAGTCATCTCCAATCAAACAGAGGAAAAGGATTTGTAGAGCAAGACTCAATTTCCTGCTATTTGGAAAACAAGTTCAGGCATCTTCCTCTAGGTTCCTGTCCACTTCAAGAAACTGCAGGCTCCCAAATGCCCAACAGTTCTGACACTGTAAGTAGATACTTGTTCAGGGACTCAGTGGCTGCACCCAGTCTTCTTCTTGTTTTCAGGAGAGATCATCGGGTGACATGAAGCCAAACCCCACTCCCGCACCTACATGGCTTACCTTAAGATCAGTCTTGAGAAATCTAGAAAAATTGTGGTGCCTTTCTGATTCAAGAAGACTTTGTGCTGACAGCTGCTCAATGTTTACAGAGGTGAGAAAGGAAAAAGAGTCCACAATCTACAGGAAAGACATCTCAGAGTACAGGCAAAGAAATAGACCTGAGATTCAATAGAACAGATTAGAAGATGCAAAGACAACTACCAAAACACTCAGCCATTTGATGTTTGACCAAGGTGCTAATCATGCTCACTGAAAGGACAGCCTTTTAATGAATGTCATTGAAATAATTGGCTCTCCACATGACAAAGACTGAAACTAGACACATGCCTGTCAATATGCACAAAACTAAAGTCAAAATGGATAAACTATCTAAATATTAAAATGGAAATAAGAAATCTACCGGAAGACAAGGTAGGTAGAAGTCTTGCAGACATAGGGCTAAGCAGATAATTCATGAACAAAATAAAATCTTCATAGGTAACACTTCAAAATTCAACAACTGGGATCTCATATTATTGAAAATTTTCTGCACTTCGAAAGAAATCACCAACAGTGTGAAAAGAAATCCCACAGAATTGGGAAGAATTTTAGCCAGCAACTCCTCAGACAAAGGACTTATATCCAGAACATATAAAGAATTATATTAAGGCCCGAAAATCAAAGCCCCTCTAAAAATGGGCTTCTGAGATGAACACACAGTTCTGAAATGAAGATACACAAATGGCACATAAATACACGCAGAAATGTTCACTATCACTGGTCCTTCAAGACATGCATATTAAAACAGCATTGAGATTTCACATCACTCCAGAAGGAATAGCTGCCATCCACAAAGCAACTGATAACAAATGTTGGCTAGGATGTTGGGAAAAATGAACATTGCTCCCCTGTTTGTGGGTGTGTACATTGGTATAGTCACTATGGAAATCAGTATGGAGATTTCTCAGAAGACTAGATTTGGAATTTCCATTCAATCCAGCTACTCCCCGCCTGGATATTTTCCCAGAAAAAATGAAATGTTCATAGCACAGTGACATATGTGCCCTATGGTTCACAGCAGCACAACGATTATCTCGAGACATTCATAGGTAAAGGGAGACAACTTGACTCTATCCTTATAAGTGAAATAAATAAAAATCATATTTATAAAAATCACATTGTGTCTCTAGTGTGAAATGTATTAAAAAATGTAGGAATAATAAAACCCCAAATGTGTAATTGCTATGTAAAGCAGACAGGAAAATGCTCTAAAGGACATAACTGGGGTATGGTTAAGTGTGTAGGATTGATAACCATATTACTAAGTTTTTCTTGGATCATTGAGCAGAACTGTTTGCAGTCTGAATGTTTGAATGTCTACTTTGTATGGTTTAATTTTGTAGCTTAAACAACTATTTCTAAGGCAAAAAACTGTAATTTATCAACTAGTGTTTACTGTTTAGGTTTTTTTTTCTCAAATTCTGTATTATTTTTACCCTTTTATCTGTTCTTTTATTTTCTCTTCAAATAAAATTTTAAATAAATAAATAAAAAACTTTAATAGCAAAGAATAGCCCACTGCAGAATTCTACAAAAATTGAAAGAAAACTTATTGCCGACATTCATCAAACTCTTCAGTGAACTTGGAAGGGAAGCAATTCTCCCTAACTCATTTGTGAAAGCGAGTATTTCTCTAAAACCAAAACCACAGAAAGACCCCAAAAAAGAGAACTACAGGTCAACCTCCCTAATGAACATACATGTAAAAATTTCTCAATAAAATACTGAGAAACAGTATTAAGCAAATCATCAAGAAGATTATGCACCATTACCAAGTGGGATTCATCCCAGGAAATGCATCAATGATTCAACAAACACAAATTAATAAATGTTATCCACCATATCTATAGACCCAAAAATATGAATCATATGGTCATTTCTATAGATACAGAAAAAGATTTTGATTAGGTCCAACACTCCTTCATGGTAAGAACCTTACAGAAAATTTGAATAGATGGTCTTTATCTCAATCTGATAAAAGCCATCTACGATAATCCAACACCTAGCATCATATTCAAAGTCCAAAAACTGAAAACCTATACTCTAAAATCAGGAACCAGACAAGGATATCCATGGTCACCACGCTTATTCACTATAGGGCTAGATATACTAGCCTGAGCAATTAGAAAATAGAGAGAAATAAAAGAAGTAAGGATGGGAAAAGAAATTAAATTATTATTATTTGCACATGACATGATACTCTACATAGAAGACTTCTAAAACTCCATTGAAATACTCCTGGTTATAATAATTAAATTCAGTCATGTTGCTGGATACAAAGTCAACACACAAAAATCAATAGCTTTCCTATACCCAAACAACAAACTCATTGAAACAGAAATAAGCGAAGCAACACCTTTCACAATGGCATCTTAAAATAAAATACTTAGGAATCAATCTAACAAAAGAAGCAAAAGAGCTATCTGTTTAGGGAAGATTATGATACTCCCCCCAAAAAAGAAATGAAGCGGATCTCAGAAAATGCAAAAAGAATTTCTTGTTCATGTATAGGAAGAATAAACATTGTGAAAATGGCCATTCTCACAAAATATCCCTAGGTACCTCAAAGATCTAGAGCATTCTTTCCTGAAATTCATCTGAAAACTGAATAGACTTAGAGTAGCAAAGAAAATTCTCAGCAACACAGGCAAGGCTGGGAGCATCACAATTCCTGACTTGAACTAATACACAAAGCGACTGCAATAAAATAAGCATGGTACTGAAATAACAATAGACTTGAACATTAACAGAATAGATTAGAAGATACAACTACAACTACCAACACACTCAGCCACCCTATCCTTGACAAAGGAGCCAAACACATTCACTGGAAGAAAGATAGTCTTTCTAAGAAGTGCTGCTGGAAAAACTGGCTCTCCACATGCCAAAAATAAAGGCAGACCCATGCCTATTACCATGTACTTAAGTCAAAATGGAAAACATATCTAAATATTAACACAAAAAATAAAACTAAATTTTCTGCAAGACAAAGTAGTTAGAAATCTTGAAGAGTTACTTGGTAGGGTAGATAGAGAATTCATGAACAAAAATCAAACTGCACGGGATGCTTCCCAAATTCAATAACTGGGTTCTTGTCTTATTAAAAATTTTTGCAGGTTGAAAGAAAGAAATCTTCCACAGAGTAAAGAGGAAACCCATGAGTTTTGAAGAAATCTTAGTCAACTCTCTCTCAAAGAACATCAGTCCAGGACATACAAATAATTTTAAAATTTCCCTCCCCTGATATTCAAATACCCAAACGAAAAATGGGCATCTGAGATGAATACACAATTGTCTGATAAAGAAATACAAATGGCAAATAAATACATGAAAAAAAAATGTTCATCATCATTGTTTGTTAGACAAATGCACATTCAAACCACATTGAGGTTGCATATCACTCCAGACACAATGGCCAGGATCAAGAAAACCACAAACAACAAATTCTAGAGAGTGTGTGGGGAAAAAGGAATCCTCCTGCACTGTTGGTGCAGGAGAGTGGTACACCCACTATGTGGTTCAGTTTAGAGGTTCCCTAAAAGCCGGGTTTAGAAGTCCCATTTTACCCAAATATTCCACTTCTGGGCATATTTCCGGAAGAAGTGAAAACATCAGGTCTCACTGATATGTGTGCACCCATGTTTATAGCAGCACAATCCGTGTAGGCCAGATCTTGGAAACAACCTAAATGCCCATCAACTGAGGAATGGATAAAAAAGATGTGGTACTTTTATACAAGGAGTACTACTTAGCTATGAAGAATGATCACATTGAGATATTTATAGGTAAACGAATGCAATTTGACACAATACTCACATGAAACAAATCAAACTCACATGTGTAAATACTGTACTGTCTCCCTAGTGTAAGAGATGATTAGAGTA